GTTTTGCTTCAGTCATTCTTATGGTTTTTATTCAGTAGAAAGTGAGGCACCGTTATTGTAATAGTTAACAAAGAGAAATCTCAAAAAAAAATCTGCTTTGTTCATAGGAATTGAGATATAAAGTGACAACATTCCACTTTTTGACTGACTGTGCTATTCTGTCATTCATCAGATGACAGCTAAATCAGTTCTGTTCCTGACTGACAAGATATCCAACATCTGGGATGCTCAGCCATTGCACCATTCCAGACCAACTTCTGCTTGGCTGTGAATTGCCACTTCTCTAATTTTTTTTCCCTCTTTCTGCTTCTTCTTTTGTTCTAAGAGGTGTTTCTTTATTCACATCTCTTTTTGCCTTGACACCATATTAAATTGATTTCCAGTAATAACTCTCTTTTTCCAAATGAAAATTCTCTTAATCCTCACCTCAAGCTTCAGGAAGAAGTTACTTCAAGCTGCAGCTCACTGACAGCTAATAGTCCCCGTGACAAGGTTCTCATGGTGCTGCACTAAATGGACAGAAAAATCTGAAATTATTTGATTCTAAGGTTGCTGTATGGTGTCTTTCAAAGTTACAGACCCAAAAAGGAGCTTTGATTTATTGCGACTTAATTCAGTTGTAACGTGGGGCAAAAGGCTTGAGTGCAGTCATTGTAAGGCACTGGATGCAATATTACCCTGTTCCCACGTTACTGGTTTTCTCTAGGAGCTGCTGCCAGACTGTAGTACACACACAGCATACTATGAAATGTTCTAGTGGAACTCTTGTTTTCTAGATCAGGCGGTGATTTATCCCTGCTGGATGATTTAAAGCATTTCATATACTTGTATATATTACTTTATTATAGACCAGTTCTGTTTATCAGCTTCTCATACACAAAAAAATAAAACTCTCATACACTTCTCATAACACCTTTGCAATGCATATCACAAGTATAACATCATTTCAGCTCAAGCTCNCATCTACCTGTCAGACCCGAAGTAGGAATGCTCACTTACACTTGATCATATTTTGACTTCATGTTAGACTGCAGAAACAATATGAGATCTCCACAGGAAAGAGAAAAGGGGAAAACTGTATACTTGAGGTTTTTTTCCTCAGTTTTAGTATTAAAGATCCCTATCTGGAGCTGTTTATTTAGGGGAAAAAAATTAATATTTCTGCTATATTTAGACATATCAGTGCAAGTAGGAAAAACGTCTCACTTCTGCTACCTTGGTGATCATTTTTAATACCAATTCTGCTGTTTACAGAATTAGTAAATTCTGCCTCTGTTTTTTGGATCACTTCTACCTTAATCTCTCTCCTTCTTAGTCCAGAAGTCCCTAGTTTTGTCTACTATTTAAGTGAAGAGTGCTTTTCATCTGTAAGCACATTAGGCTGGATATTGGGCTGTATTGTTTAGTATGTCTTGGTGCAAACCTAATATACAGTATGGGTGGGATGATGCAAACTGATGGGTTGATGTGCACAAACATAGTTCAATTCTGAATCTAGTAATGAATTATCTAAGTAAGTGTTATGGTGTGGGTGGCTCCACAAAGCACAACTTACTTGAAAGTTGTGCTGTTTTGGCACATCAGTGAAATTTATGAAACCAGAGGTGGATTTTTCAGTAACTGCATCACATTTTGTAGCATAAATTATAGATCTGAAAAAAGGCAGAAAAGGCAATAAGCAGTATTTGGGGTTTTTTTTGTTTTTTTTTTAAGCATTACTGGGCTTTGGTCCAAATACTAGGTATAATTTTATCAAGCTCTTTGTAAATGTCTTTCAAAAATAATTACTTCTGCTTGTCTTTTGCAAGTGCATAGATATATGTCTCCCCAAGTAAGCCCAGAAAGAGACATAGAAATCTCTATAATATACTAGGATTTGACTTGCAAGGAGAAGTGAGTTATTAAAAGAAATAGTAGAAAAATGAAAGAAAACCTATGCCTTTAATGAATGGAATAAAGGAGAAAAGAGAACATTGATTTAATCTATTGATTTGCTGTGAAGTAAAAGAACAGATGTTTTCTGTTAGGTCCCTGGATAAAATTCAGTAGGCGCCACTAATACTTACGGACTGGTGACTTCTGATAAGATTGAAAATTGATGTCTGTTCTATTGTTACCAAATGGATATGGCAGGTTATTCTGCTGTAGGTGACTCATTTCAGAGTACTTTAATACAGAAACAATATCTCATTTTCCTAGACCGAGACAAAAACAAGAAATGTTTTGCCAACAGTTTTCAGCTCCAAAGACATATCAACCATAGAGAATTTAATATTTTAGGTAGGTAGTGGAACATGTAAAGCTCCTCTGTTGTAGGTTTGAATCCCTTTGGATGCCTAGAGAAAGGGTAGATTATCTTTATTTGCTTGATTTCTGTTTGTCTATCACCTCTTTGAATGTCTAATTCAATCATCTACAGAGGTACTCAGGGAGATGTGATTACACTTGTAGAGGTGTTGGAAGAAAGTTCATTTCAGCATTGGCCCAGTTTATCTGACTGCCTCTCCTTCGACAGATCCAAACATTAAACAGATCACATTTAATGGAAGTTCAAAGGCTTTCCCAAAAGGTTCTGAATTCTCTGTGATCAGGGGAAAAAAAAGTTTCTTGTTTGCCTTCTTGGAAACCACTCAAAGCAACATAATTTTGGAATTCAGATTGTCCCATAGTGCTTTTTGAGAAACCTGTGCAAAGTTTGCTGAGGTCAACGTAGAAGTTCCCAGATGTCTGATCAGCTTTCAGGCAAGGAGAGCAGAAAATCCGTGCAGAACACCACGTGAATGCAAACAAAGCACAAGTGTGATGTGTGTGTTATACACATCCACATGCCTCTATATATACACATATACATATATAGATAAGGCAAAGGATTTGAGTTCTTGCTTTCAATGTGAAATCCACTTCAGATACTGCACTACTGGTCAGGATCTTTCTGCAAAGTGACTGGAACCTTTCCTTCATACTTCTCTTACAAGGAAGACTGGAAGCCCTTCCTTCTCAGCTTTCCTGAGATTTTTGGTGTGGGGCTTTTGTGTATAGAACTACATGTACTCATCCACTGTATTTATTGTCTTGCCTTCCTGCTGTTTCTGTGCCTCCTGAAAGGTGCTGTAAGCTGCATAGGAAAAGTATTTAAAATAACAGTTTGAAAACTGAGTTTTCTTGATGAAGTGACCTCTAAGTGTGTTCTCGGACTTTTTAGTTTTGCAGTTTAGTTTTTTTGCAGTAGCAGATGCCCTAAAAGGACAGGCAATTCAGATTTTGGTATCATAAACAGAAACTTGTCACGGCAACTGTGGGACTCATCTGCAAGATGTGGGGTATAAAACATGGTACTTGGACTCCAGCCTGGGACAGATTAGTTCCTACTTATGGGTGAAATTTGTGGAGAAGACAGAAAACCTATAAAGGACTCTAAGGCTCTTAATCAGAGACTTACGTAGCATAAAATGATATACTCTTCTAAAGACTTGAAGAAATCAAGAAAGAATTTGAGAAAGCATGGCATAGTTTTGATGTGATGTCTTAGGTATGAGCTAGTCAATATTGTTTATAAATTTCCCCTTTCTACTTCATCAGGTCAAAAATTATGTTGACCTCCAGAACACTGCTAACCAGTTAAAATGATTATAAAATATAACCCAGCTGATGTGTAATAGGCATTACAGACTTGGAATGAAGTCAGATGAATGGAAACATAATTTAATTTTCCAAGTTTCTTTTATTTTTTAAGTATTTTAAATGTCTCATTATAACAGATACTATACAGTGTTTGACTCTCAGCTGTTAGGCAGATTCAACTCTCTGAAGAGGTTTTCCTAAGAGGAAAAAGAGCCTCGTTGAGAAATGGGTAATGTTCCTTATTCTTATTGAGATTGCTATAGGATTTTTAGTTGCTGTATGATCAACTTTACTCAGAGAGACATTTGTAACCTCCTACAGATGCTAATTGTGGTCTTGTGTCGGTATTATACATCACTCTATGCTCAAATTTAAGCCATTCACTTGTCCAGTCGAACTCACCAAAATTAGTAAACAGAGGTGAAATTATTCACATACTCAGTTTAATGCTAAGTATTCTTAAATTTTGAAGGACAAAAAATTTAAAATCATCTAGTCAGGCTCTTTGCACAATTCAGGCTGTACATGATCAATATATGTTTTCTACAGTACTTCAGGAGTTGTCTGGAATCATAGAATAAGGATTTTTTAAGGATTTCTACTCTCGAATTGAAGGTTTCCAGTGGTGGACAGTCCATGATGGTGTGTATTGACTACTTGAATGGTTAAGCTTCGCTCAGAAAAGATACACTTCTGATTTTAATCTGAATTTTTACAGATTCAGCCACTGGATCTTTTATTTTATCTGCTTGGTTCCAATGGCCTTTATCCTTTTCTTCTCAAATAGGCATGCAAGAACATCAACCTACTCCTCTCTAACCTTCCTTGTGAAGAAAGCTATCAACTGTATTGCGAGACCTTGAATAATTCTTTTACTTGCCTTGTTAGCCTGTTCCAATTTTGTTATGTTTCAAATGCGTTTGCTCACTCTTCTAAATTGGGAGCAATGTGCCTTGTCTGGACAGATAACTTCCTGATGAGCAACAGTGTGTTGACGCTCAGAAGCGTGAGCAGTTTGGTTCAGATAAGGACATAAAACTCCAGACTGGTAAACACACTGTATTCCAAGTTCCTCGTGCTATTTCAAATATGTGCTGTCCGTCCAGACTCTGCACGAAAAAAGCTCCCTGATGTTGTAGCAGAGATGCAGTAGAAGATATGGAAACAAGCAACGAAAATACATGGTAATGACAACAGCTGCGCTCACAAATTTTGTACTTCTATTTAACGAGGAGAGCAAGGCCTATTGTGCAAGGCCTGAGTTCTTTTGACCCCCGGATTCGCTAACAGCATTTGAGACCACATCACGTCTTGCAAGGCTGGGTGCTATGCTGACAGAAAGCTGAAACAGAAACAAAGAGTTTTAAGCGCTAGCAAGGAATTCATTGGAAAGGCACGCACTAATCTTTGAGCACTCATTTACAGCCTAAATCTGTGTCAACAAAATAATTTCATACTGACAATATGAAGTCAGTCAAATGACTTGGCTTTGTCTGTGACTAATCTAGGAGAAATTACAGAATTATCCAAGTTCTGGCATCCAGTTTTCCGCATGCAGAAACCCTGTCCACCTGTTCTATCTTTAGAGTTTGTCCCCTGGAGTTCAGGCCAACCATCCATATCAGATTTGCAGTAGAAACTTGCTGAACTGACTCAAGTTTCCTGCCAGGAATATAAATACATTATCACGAGTGTCTTGGAAGGGTATTGATACTTCTAGCTTATGCTTATAATGAGGGATTCGATTATATATTCCACTGGGTATCAATTCAGGCCACTGCTACGGTCTTTAAAGGAGCAATCGTATCAGTGTTCCCTGACGTGCCGCTGAAGTCGGGGCTGCCATTCTCCCAGATGCCACCAGATGGCAGCGCTTGCTGTGAACGAGCACCGGCGCACGCGGGGCGGTGAAAGACCCTCCCGGCCTTAAAGAGTTGCTTCCTCTTGTTTTGGCTGAGGATTTGGACCTGCTCGGGTGATCAAGATGAGATCTGATAATACACGGAATAAGAATAGTGCTCTTTTTATGTGTTAAAAGCAGGCAGCATCCCTCTTCGGAGTGGAAAAATTGAAGAGCTACATTCTTGTCAAATGAAGTCGATGAGAGCCATCGGTAATGTCAGGATCCTGGCTGTTTCCCAGGTGCAGGAAAAAGGTTTGGGGAGAATCAGGGAAGGTGTCTGGCATGCTTATTCATGGAGCAGGTCTGGAGGCAGACCAAAGCAAGGTAACATCTTCTCTCTGGTGACCAGTGATAGGACCTGAGGGAAATTTTGTCAGAAGAGGTTCGGGTTAGAGATTAGAAAAAGGTTCTTCACCCAGAGGGTAGTTGGGCACTGGAACAGGCTCTCCAGAGAAGTGGTCACAGCACCAAACCTGACAGCTTTCAAGAAGCATTGGGAAAATGCTCTTCGGCACATGGTGTGACTCTAGGGGATGGTTCTGTGCAGGGCTAAGATTTGGATTCAATGACTCTTGTGGGTCCCTTCCAACAGAGGTTATTCTTGATTCTATGAAAGCAGAAACTATTGGAGAAATTAGAGGCCAATTCATCATTAGATTGAGGTGTTTGCTTTCTTTGAATGATGTAAAATTGTAAATTTAGTGTTCAAATAAGTATTTATGGGGAACAAATGTAGAAGTGTAGCAAGTGTTAATTACTTTTAGGCTGTTCACTTGAAAGGTGTTATGTCTGTACACTCCACAACGAGTGTATGTGTCTGGCTTTGCATGGCTTTGCTCCCTCAAGTCAGTTTGGGAACACATACATAGTATTTCAACATATGATATGGAGTTAGGTGAAGTTTAGACTTTCACATTTCCTTTATGATTAAAAAATTATTTGCATATGCTGTTCAAAAATTTTTAGTCTTGTTTCAGCAAAATCCTTGTTCTTGCAATCTTTTTATCAAAAAAATGTAATTTATGATGACTGGTACTTCTAATCAAGAAAGAATAAACTCCAGAACTTAACCTGGAGGTGGTTAACTTACTATTTGTTTTAGAAAAATACATTATTATCTATTTTTCATTGGGATGTAGCAAAAATCTGTTTCTATTGAGAAGAAATAGGTTTTTCCTTTGAATTATAGTAACTTGTGGGCACTCGTCTTCCCCAAAGATTTACATCCCTTGTTTTAAACCTTCATCCATTCCCTACTTTTTGGGAGGCATATTCCGTGCAAAGCTAGATGCAAAACTGTACAGCTTCATTGCAAACAAGCCTTGGGGCTATAAAAAAACCCCCAAACCAACAAATAAACAATAACAACAAAACAACAAAAAACAACCAACCAAACAAAAAACCAACAAAAAAATCCCCAAACAAAAACCAGTGTCTTTTTGGCTAATATTATTACTGAAGTGACATAAATTAAAAAATTAATATATAACGCAGTGGTTATGAAAACAGACTGGCCATTTGTCAAAGAGTCAGTTTTATTCAGTTCCTTTCCTATAAGTACCTAAGGTGGTATAAAATATTATGTGTTGTTTCATGTTTCAATTCTTCAAAGCTGATCATGTAGGAATGGTATAGGATGGCAACCACAGCTTCGAGCAGAAGCTGCAGCCACGTGGGAGCATTATCAAGCAGGAATTTTACACAGACAATCTCCTCACACCCATTGTCCTTCAGAACAAACATCCACAGGGCCAAGCATTCAAAACCAGCTCAAAATTCCTATTCAGTGATTTATAGGTCTGGCTTAAGGGCATATTGAGTATTTGTCTTACAGTCTTTCTGAAAGCAAAATAGACATAATTTCAAAACCCAAAGATGCTTCCCAAATATGTTATCAAATCAATTGTAACTAGATATAAAATCTTATACAGAGAACATCCTTAGATATGCTTTGAGTTTTCTAATATGAACAAAGACAATATTTTTTTTAAGCTGCTTAATCCACTTAATGAAAAGTAATGAGTAAAAGGGAGAGCTGACTATTCTGATACATTTTTTTGTCATTGATTATGACAGATTAAAACTGGGAATTACTGACTGTCCCTGAATATCACCCCCTCAGGAGCCATTTATTTGCACTGGTCTTTGAGCTCTTAGTAACCAAGATGATACACTTCTTTCAAACATACACTTCTAAATTAGTTACAATTTGCACTTGGAAGAGGGATATTTGTGACTGACCTTTTTTGTTTTCTTATTTCTTTTGCTAATTTGTGAGGCTTTGATTGAAGGCTTGCATATTTTGGGGTTATTTTACTTTAGCAATGGTAATTAACATTCGTATATGATTAATGCAGTGGTCAGTCCACAGGAGGGTGTTAAGTAGAATACTTAGTGTCTTTTCACAGAGACTAGGTAACCTGCAGAGAAAAGCACCATTAGAAAAAGAATTAGAAACAATATTCCTCCTGGTGGAAACTTCTAAAGGATATGTTCTGCAGGCACACTGGACACTGGAAAGCGGCTTTTTGTGCAACTGTGAAGGCAGTTATTAGGTTCAGTCCCTGTTGATGCATGTTGCTACTGACTAGCTTTGTCATCCTGAGCTGAAGCTGCTGATCCAAGTTTACGTTTTTTTATGCTCTTTGGTTGCTACTGCACAGAGCTTTGAAGTATCACAAGTTGAAATACCACAAAGCTATTCTATGCCAGTCCAGATTACTTATGGGAAAGAGATCAAATAAAACCAATATAGATACTGCAGTTAGCAACACTGACATCATCACCAGTCCCCTTTCAATTCCTCTGACAACTTCGAATCTCCTTTGCTTGATCATTTGGAAATGGTATTAAATGCTGATGAGGCAGGATATAATTCAAGTCACCAAAGCCCTGTCAGTCATTCTTAGGGAATCAAACCTTTCTTTAGGGTATAGTTACCTGACATTAACTGCTCATGATATGGTGCCTGATCACAACCAGGAACCTGTATCAATACTCTGCATTCCTGCTCTGTGGAGTTGGGCAAACTGCAACATCTTTCATTTCTCTCCCATAACTGGGTCATGAACTGAATTTTTAGAGCTGTAAGAGACTGTATGTCTGAACAGAATCTTAACGTTGGTGTGTTCTTCTTCAAAGTGAAGGGTGTCATGGCTTTAAGATTCCAAATTTAAATCTCGTGGAAGCTGAGGTCATAGAGGTTCGATGATTTGGATACTCTTTCAGATTCTCACTTGCAGTTCATTTTTAGTCAAAGCTGCATTTCTTGCACAGGAAAGAAATAGCTAATGATTACAGAAAGTCTAAGAAAAAACATTATGGAAGGAGACAAATGCATTTCTTGTCCCCTTATCCATAATAAGGGTGCAGATATCTGTTAGTGCATATTGTTTGCTAAATCCATTTCCATCTGCACAAATTTGGTAGTGTTAGTGTGTAGCAACTCTGATAATATCTGCTGGAAATATTTATTACAATACCTCTCACAGATGAAAAAAACATTAGCATGAAACAGATTCTTTAGCCCTTTTGCCAAATTTTTATCAAGTATCAGCTACTAAGTTATAAAATTATAGGGCTTTAAATGTAAAATTATCTTATTGGATTATTGCTGCCTGACTTTCTGAACCAGTAGCACAATTTCTTGGAAATAAACAGTAGGATACAGGATAGCTATATTTCTTATATCATACCACCTCTGATTTGCTGATCTGTACACATCACTGGAAGACTAGAGGAGAATAAGTTCAGTCCAGGTACATTCACATTATGTCTTCTATTCGGTTTAAGACTTCAAGGTTTTGTTTAGCTTTTCTCTACTCACCTAGCCATATTTTTGATTGTGAAGCACGTTCTTCTCTACATCTGTAAAACTAGTTTTAGTCAGTAATTTCTCTAATGATTGTTACACTACCTCCTATATCAAACTCTTAGTAGAAAGTAAGAGAATTTCAATAAAAATATGCTATATAAACCCCTTTTTAAAGATAAGACACTTCTATTAAAAAATATCTGTCCCAAGGGAAATTTAAATCAAGATAACTAAAAGCACGAAAAATGGATTGTTTAAACTAAGTGCAAATTTTATCAGCCACTAGTTTTGAATACTTTGGGAATATGTTGCTTCAGAAATCACCTCGTTTCTTCAGTATAGCAACTGTGTTTGTTAGGTATGATCTGAAAAGACTAAAAGTCATTTTGGATGTGGAGTGCAGAAGTGCAGAGATCATCACACCCATCAGCATCAGATTCTTGTTGTTTTATGTTTCAGCTATGTAATGTTTAAATAAAAATAAATTAAGTGTTAAGTAGAAAGTCTTCCTGCCTTAGTGCAAATAACAACATACTCCTGGCATGACAATATAGCAGTTGTTAGCTCTGTGCTGGAGATGATCTCATAGTTGGTTTAATCAAAAAGGGACATGCGCTGTTAGAGGGCCATAGCAATGGAAATTGGATCTTCTAGTGTTCTGCCAAGAACTTTCTTTGTTGTCCTGAGGGTCACATTGCAAGGCTCATTTTGTTGTGCTGGGGTTTTCTGAGTGAGAAATCACACAGAGTTTTGATTGTGAAGCCTCAGAAGGCTTTTCTTAGATGGGCTGGGATGTGTTAAGGAAATGAGTGAACTAGTGTCATATCATATGTGTCTATTTTGTTCATTGGCTGTCTGTACCTTTTTTACCCTGTCTTCATTGTCTTCTTAATATTTAACCAAAATTCTTATTGCAAGAAGCAGATGTGCCTTCATACAATGTATCATGGTGTACATGCTAGGGTATATTTAGACATGGAATATATCTGGAGTATGTTTTGATAGATAAGATGAAAATTGTATTTATTTGGTTTGAATTCTATTACTTTTCTTTAAAGAGTAAACAAATGCTCAGTAGATATTATTGTTTTGTTTGCCCTTATTTTTTTTTTTTTTAGCATTGGGAAACCTCTTAGGAATCCACAAAGTCAAAAGTCTGCTTGTAAAAATATCTAGTGCCTTTACTCAAGTGCTTGTAAAAAATGCTGTTGTTTTTAGAACAACTGCTGTTGTTTTTAGAACAACAGGCTTTTCCAATCAGTAATGAATAGAATATTGAAACATGTATTTACATCAGTTTTATTAATTCTTATAATTTTTTATTACTATGCTTTTCAAGTAATTTTCTTTTTCCTGTGTTTTCTAAGAAATAGGTCACATTCTATTAAGAAGAGGCTGTTATTGCAATCTAGAAGAAATCTCTTTTAGATGAAAAGGGAAAGATGCCTGGGGTGTCTAATGTAGGAATCTCTGTCATACTGTATTATCTGGAAATAAGAATGAAAAGGCAGTGAGATCCAGCAGTTATTACCAAAGAAACTAGAGAGACAGGAATGGAAGAATCCTTCTGACCACTGCCAGATGCACTCTTGGGGATCTAACATGTATTGCAGGAATTAAAAACATCCACAGGTGCTGTAGAAAATCCCCTAATTTGAGTCCAAATCCTGTTTGTGTTTTGTTCAATAGCAGAACTCCAACAGATTTTGAAGGGCCCTTATCAGAACCTTATTTCATAGCTCATGATGATGACTCTTTTCCCTTAAACCGTTTTTTATCCATTTCTGTGTGACCTCAAACCTTCTTGTACAACTTCATGAAACAGCAAAATATATTTATTGTGCAAACGGCAAAGTGAGGCAACACACTGTAAAAGTAACTCTATATTAAATGTTTTATTTTGCTGTTATGCAGTTCACTTCAGTTTGGTGTTATAAGAGTCACACAGCAATTCAGCAGATTTATGGCTTTACTGAAAACTGTGATGACATATCCTTAAACTACTTCACTCTCATTCCAACAGCTTGGCCTTTGTCCAATGCTTGAAAACCAAGTTATCCACAAAGTGATACAAAATCCATTTTGATTTAATGCAAGAGGACATTCTTCTGTCAATTAGTATAAGTTCAAGGTCCATGGGTGCTTGATCCAGCCAGACACTTAGGCCTGCTTTTATCTCTGAACTTGCAGCCTGGGCAAGCCTCGTGCTCGCTTGCAATCCCATTGGCATCCATGGGGTTCAGCACTAATGCATATCTCCAAAGCTTATTGGTGCTTTCAGCAGGTGTAAATTAAAAACAGTCATTCAAACAAACTGCTCAATTGTAGTTTCATGAGCCACACCTCGTCTTTATTTCCTGTGAATATGTTTCTTCCAATGTGTTGTCTGTATCTCCTGATAGCGATGAACCGTAGCTCACTTTGAGAGAGTTGGGAGTATAATTTCATCTCTTGGGCATACTTTTCTCCTGAATGCCATGCTAGGAATGTATTAATATCTCTTTTATAGGCCAGAGGAATGTGGAATATGCGTACTGACAGGGTGTTTGGAGCCCAAGGGAGGACAACTGAGGAAAGAGGCCGGACTGATGGAAATGCTCTTCCCTACAGGAGGTAGGAGTGGTGGAATTTGCTGTGCCACACTTTCATACTGAGCTTCTTCTCTGTTTTGCTAGTGGCATCCCTACACAATGTTACATCAGCTGTTCCCAACCCTTCACCAACACCATCCTCTTTCATGTGACCTTGCAACAACCCTGGGTGAAATAAAACGAACTGGATAGTACAGTTTCTTCCTGAACTTGCAAGACATAATAACAAGCTTGAAAACAAGGAGGCAAGAAAGAGAACAGATATTTATTTCATGCCTCTCTATTTTTTTAATTTTAGCTGTCATTTATGCTTTCTCATTTGTGTTTCTCTGGTATTGCCTGAAGCCCCATGGGTTGTTACAAGTTCTCGCTAATTAAGAAGATGATATATTTTTCTGGCAATTCTTTTTAGGCTCCTTGCTTTGTGTGGTCTAACTGTGGGTAGACTTTATCAGCTGTATGCTCTTTCATGTGCTTTCTATTTCCGCTAAATGGAAAAGTAAAAGCATATTAATATGCATTTTGCACTCTTTAGTCACAACCCTGTGGCTGTTGGTTGTTTTTCTTTTAAACATGGATTATTTCTCAACATTGCCAGTATTGTTATGAAAACTAGTTGTTGTCTTCATTGCCCTTGTAGCCCTTTTCCACTCAGAGTGTTTATTTAATTCCCTGAATATAGTTATAATTCAGGTTGCTATTTAAAATACTGGAAACACCCAACTGAGGACAAGCTCCTTGGTTACACCTATATATACATATATATATATGTATATGTATATTTCTATATCTATCTAGATATATAGATATCTAAATATCCATATGTGTGCATATTTCCAGTTAGTGAGCCATTAATAAGAACTCCTTGAACACAGTGTTTTCTCTAGTCTGTCTCCTCTGGTGGCTTATGAAAATGTCAAGGGAGACTGTTAAAAAACTTGCTCTGCTTCAACTGTGACATCTACTGCATCTCTTTTAGGCATGTGCCCTGTTACGAGAGAGCAAATTGGCTTATGTAACTAACTGCTGCTTATGTTTTAGTCTAACTTAATCTATTTTGGTAAAATACTAACATTTACATTTGCAGCATTGCATCCCTCCTTTCTCGAGTTCATGTTAAGCCTTCTGCTTTAAGCTTCCTGTCCCTCAGTAGTTATTTTAGCTCTTAGTGCTTGCTTTTCATTCCTGTTCAACTGTTGCGATGTGGTGATATTTTACCCATTGTATTTCTGGGTTGTGAGGTTTTTTGTTTGATTGGGTTTTTTGGTAGGAATTGACTTTGTCAATTGGAAATATTTATTACTTGTAGTGTTGTACTTGAATATGAGTGTCAGCTCTTTTTGAGGTCACCTCAATCTGATATGTCTTCTTCTTTGTTATAGACCCTAAAAAAGATAAAACTCTCAAAATTTAAAGCTATATATATGATATTTGATCTTGCTGGAGAGTATCCTTGTTATTTTTTAATGCCTTTCTCAGTCATGATCAGTAATAACTCAGAGCCTGAAGCCCTTGTTAACATAGGCAGAATCCCACTGGTGTCCCTGGGAATTTTGCCCTCAAAAATGAACAAACAATTAGTGTAAGGATTTCTGTCTTCAGACAGTAGCTGAATGGGCGTTTGGGCAGTATGCTATTCAGGTTGCCAACCCCAAATTTCTTTCCCTGCCCAAGTCAGAGAGCTGTCTGTAATTACTGCAACTTAAAGGGCTCAGCCCACTGTGGGATGTTGCACGCTCAAAAATCCCATCCATTTGAGAGGGAGTTGCTGATCTTGACTTTTCTCTGGACTAGGCTGTATATGTTTCTAGCTGGATTGCTCCAGAGACCCAGGAGTGAGTCTGGAGGGCATTTTCCTAGGCTGTTACTCAACATTCTGCTTACAAATATGCAAAATATTCCCAAAGGACAAAATGTTGTTGGTAACTTGAAACACCCTCCCACCCATCCCAAAGAATAATGTCTATTAAACCCTTTTTGATTAGTTATGGTATTATAGATCCTGAATAGTGCATATTCACAAAACCATTGTGAAGCCACTGTCCTATCCCATTTCTCCCTAAGAGGCCTTTGATGCTCTTGGTCCTATTCCGTGGCTCGCCAGTGCTATTCAAGTCATTATTTAGGCTTTGCAAAACCTGCCCTCAGGCTCACAACTTCTTTGAACATGCCTCAGCTTTTCCAGTCTCTGAGTCCTTTCTTCATACTGTGTACCATTGAAGACTGTTGTGAAACACATTTTCTGCATTCTTAGCCCTTCGAGGGCTTCCATATTGAAATGTTCCCCAAACCGCTTTATTTGAGTATAAAGCTCAAAAGTTCTGAAAGCTCTGATTTTATAGACTTGAGGAGAAAACCGAGTTAGACCTTAAGGGCATCATCCTCTGCAGAGTTTTTTAGACAACTGGCTTTTGGGATGGTTTAGTAAAAAAATAGATTTTCAGTTAAATCAGTTGTTTCAAATGAAGTGTATGCCTTTTGCAACAATTCCAGTAACTCATTGAAAAGTAGTCTGTTTCTATTGACATCTTATTTTGGACTTTTAGAAAAACACATTGAAGATATTTTTTCTGAAAAATTGATATTCTGACCAGCTTCCATTTATTCGATCAGCCCTCATATTGAGGTCTTGGCAAGAGTTAGAAGAGGAAAGTTGCATTTTACAGAGGAAAATGAGGTTGGGTAGGTGAAACTTTTTTTAAATTGTAATGGGAAAGGAGGTGAAGCAATTGATGGTTAAGAAGAAGAGTTGGCAGTTTGACTTGTTTCAGCCACAGAAGGCTGAAACATGAGGGAGTTGTCTTCAGCTCAGATGCTTGTTAGAAAGACTAGGATTTAGCTTAATTGAAACAAAGAGTTGACTTTTCAGTAGTAAAATTGAAGTACATTTCATGTTTATAATTTGTGTTTATTTTCTTCTTCACATTTCCCTCCCTTCACAAAACAAAATTAAATACAGTGGATGAAAGCAGACTTTTACCTTAAAATCTGGTTTGATGGATCTTCTGAATGAAAAGGATTTAGGTTGTTGGTCCCTTTCTCTCTACATATTTAGAGGTACAGGATGCATGAGTATAAATGCTGGGCAGCTGGGAACTGTTTGTTTTTGGAGAACTGGAAGTTCTTTGAAAACTGCAGGAGTAGATATGTTTCTGAAGTTTTATTTCATTGTTTAGCTTTCTGTCATCCAGAAGTGCAGTGTTTACTTAAACGTTATACAAGCTCAGTGTTGTAAATTAACAAGTACTGTTGTAAATTAGGAGTCTTGGCTTTAAACTGCTGGGCTTAATGCTATAATTGAAAACATAACTACAAACATTCAGCTGTTGAGTCCTAACTTCATAGAAATACCTTGGTTTCAGAATGTAACATTCCCAGGCAGTTCTGAAAGTATGCTGAAGTAAACTTGAGGTGTACATTTTAATTTTTTGATCAAACGAAACCTGCCACACAAATCTGAGAAATCCACGCAGTCCAGGGGTTGATGCTAGCAATACATGGCTACATGTATACATGAAGCATGGCTCCTGTGTAGCTTCTGTGTAAAGGTCTTGATATTATGTGTGTTCACAGTCCCAAGAATTAAATATTAATCTATAAGGTTTAATGGAGACTGTAATTTCTTTCTGAAGGAAAATTTCTCACACTGATATTCGTGTTTCAGGTCATATTTCTCCATTGTGCTACATGTAAGCACAGTCACACTAAGAGATGGAAGCTCAGAGCAAGATAGGGGAAAATGATGGAGATAAGGTAGCTCTATGAGTTCCCCAAATGAGAGTTAAGCTATCCCAGAGAGATGTGTTTTGCAGTGGAAACATGATGGAATAGAAGAAACACAAACAAGTAAGGACATCAACACTATTTCAAAGAGTACAACTGCAAGAAGAATGAAACAGGTAAGAAAAGACAAAGCAAAGCTGGGAATGTCTTAATAGGTAGGAAAGACTTCAATGTTCACTCCTCATACCATAATCTCTGTTCTGACTTCCCTTTAAAAAATAATGTATACATTCTATCCATATATGAGGGAGGTATTTATTTTAGAGGGTAGCAGAATCTAAACAATGGGAGTGGAAATGATTGAGCAGTAACAGGACAGACATTTACTATACAGACATCCTTACTTACAAATAGGTTGTGTGTTTTCTTTAAAAAAAATTAGATTTCACAGAATTGTTAGAGTTGGAAGGGACCTCTGGAGATCATCCAGTCCAACCCCCGGCCAAGGCAGAGTCACCTAGAACGGGTTATGTAAGAACCTGTCCAAATGGGGTTTGAATGTCTCAGAGAGGGAGAATCCATGACCTCCCTGGGCAGCCTGTTCCAGTGCTCTGCCACCCTCAACATACAGAAGTTCTTCCTCATGATGAGGTAGAACTTCTTGTGTTTCAGTTTATGACCATTGCTCCTCATCCTGTCTCTGGGCACCACTGAGAAGAGTCTGGCACCAGCTTTTGACACCTGCCTTTGAGATATTTATATGCATTAGTGAGATCCCCTCTCAGTTTTGCCTTCTTCAGACTAAACAGGCCCAGCTGCCTCAGTCTCGCCTTGTAAGAGATATGCTCCAGACTCCTAATCATCTTTGTGGCCTCCACTGGACCCTCTCCAGTAGCTCCTTGTCTTTCTTGTACTGAGGAGTCCAGAACCAGATGTACCTCACTAGGGCCAAGTAGAGGGGCAGAATCACCTCTGTCCACCTGCTGGCCACACTCTTCTTGATGCACTCCAGGATTCTATTGGCCTTCCTGGCCACAAGGGCACACTGCCTGCTTACTTCAAGCAAGAGATGTAAGAAGTTTGCTTTAAATGATGTTGCCTCAGTGATGGTTTTCCTCATCTCAGGTATTAAACACAAGGAACGACTTGAAACATAGGATGTTTCAGAGAGTAAAAAACAGTGTTTCTTATTCTTCTCTCTATTATGCTGGAGTGTGGGATTTTGAGGATACTGAGTTTGGTGAGGGATTGGTTAAAGAGATGGCTCATGCATTTTATCTCTGATTCCTGAAGGGATGAGCTCCCACATCCCTACATAAGGAGGGGTAAGCTCTGGGCAAAATTGCTGGTATTGCAAGTGTTGCAATTTCATAAATCATGACACAAATATTCAGTTTTGTTACTTTTCTGATATTTTAAATTACAGAGGGAGTTGATGTGCTGTTTTGCTGTTTGCACATTAAAACCCCACCAGTTTACCTACATGCAGGCTAGAACATGCCATGTGGTGTCACTTCTGGTTTTTTTCCTCCCTGTTAGGAAAGATGGTATGTTCCCCAGCTGCCTCCTCCTCCCCTCACTAGAAGAGCACTCAGCTACTCTCCTATACCTTGGAGCAGGATGTGACTGAGGCCAAAACCACCAAGGGTGATTTTGCAGCTTGGAATTTCCCCATGGCTGTTGTGTCCATCTCCTAAGTATAGCAGCAGAAAAACGTTTAACTCAGCAATTGCTTTTGTTAAGGGCTGACTTTAAATGGTGAACACTTCTGCTGTGAACTCAGCTTTATGACTTTGAAACGATGCACCGTGATTTGACTGCTGAGCACCAAGCCTGCCAGAGTTCAAGAAGGATTTGGACAAGGCTCTCAGAAACACGTTGTGATTTTTGGGGCTGTCCTGTGCAAAGCCAGGAGCTGGACTCTATGATCCTTGTGAGTCCCCTCCAATTTAGGGTATTCCATGGTTCTATGATAACTGCTTGCTTTGTTGGCTTTTGCTGAGAACTTTTTGTGTCACATTTATCTTCAGGAGTCTAAAATACTCTGTGTGAACTGCCATACACTATCCTTCAATTTTCCATGGCGAATAAAATGCCCCTTAAACTATAAGTGCCTCTGTTAGGATGAATTTACACGTGGAGTTATAAGACAGTATTTACATGACTTCTTCATGTGAATTCCAACAATGAATAAAGTCAAGACCTCTCAAGTGCTAGTCTTCACATAGAAATAGACTTTTTTTACATTAAGTTGTAGAGGCTTCAGTGTTAAATTCTTGAAAGTCAGAAGGAAAAAGCATTTTAAAGAATATTAGAAGAAAACTGCATCTTTTTTTCAAGCTTCTGTTTAAATATGCTTCTTACTAAGAGATTATATAATTCTTGGTTTCATTAGAAGGAAGTCTAGTCAAGCAATTTTAATTTAGTAGCCTGCACTACAGCAGGCTCCAAAATTGTTTGTGATGTCAGCCTAGCAAATGATAGCACTCAGGTATGGTCAGCTCTGGCAATTCTGCTGCAAGCCTAACACACCTTAAGAAACGCATTTAAACCATTTTTCCTGCCTCTTTTTTTTTTCCTGTAATATATTCAATATAGCATTGGTCTGTACATGCAACAATGACTGTGAGTGATATAGCAAACTACGTAGTCAGGTGTAGTCAGAGTTGCTACCAAGGTGCGAAACCGTCACTGGCCATCACCTCCTTTAAGCCAGAGCTATGAATTTTCATCTTTTAAGGTACCTTGAGTTTTTCCTAAGCAGTGTTAAACATCAGACTTTCACAGCACTCCCAGATCTGCTTTCAGTGGTATTCATGGGACTTAATTTATCAATGGGAAACAAGCATTAATCTGGCTGAGAGCCTGTGACTGCAGGCAGCCTTCCTTGTACCATCCATTGCTTGGCCTTCTGATTCCAGCAGTTTCTTCTGCTCCCATGCTGGCCCACAGTACTGCTGATGCTGCTGTCATGTGGCATGGCAAACGAGATCATCGGAGAGCTCTGTGTTAAAATAACTCCTTTTTGCTTTCATTTGTGTAAGATTATTTTTGTAAACATCCATAATTGTTTGCGTTTCTCTATGACTAATTTCTTCTGGTTTTCCACATGGACAACTGAACTACCTCAGTTGAGAGAAGGCATGGAAAGGAGGGAGTATTAGGAAGGAGTTGCCTAAGCTGGCCCTGATGCTAACACTTGAAAGGCTGGAACTGGAGCTTCAGTGTATAGGTCTATAGCATGTTGGATTAGCTGGCAAAGCCAATTGCCTTGTTCCTGCTTTGCTCCACCAGCATTCAATGGCTTGCCCTATCTCGTGCAATCTGAGCTAATTTCCTAGTGTTAGTAATGTCCTTGCTATTGTGCTTGTAGACTTTAAAATAGAGCATATAAAACACATGATATTGGTCTGCATTATGAGTTTTTGTATGTGAGTTCTTTAAGGAAACTCTTCTAAGTTTTGAAATTCAAAGGGAAAAATACTAGAGCTTCCTCAATGTTACGTGTCTAACAATCATCTTTCTAGCTCTATTTATTTTACATATCAAAGATTTTACCTAGGAAATTAGAAAAGAAAATGTATGCTTTGTCTGCACTAAGAAAAGCAGCAGACTCCACCTGAGCTATAAGAAGTGGTCTAACCATTGCTGCCTGGAGCCCTCTGGGAACTCATTTACCATGCAATGCCCCAAGAAATTTGCACTCTGTTGCCTACAACCTGTGCTTTGCTTGTACCACAGGACTAAATATTGACCTTCTCCATTCCCGCTCTTTGTCAGGCTCACAAGCAGCACAAGGAGGGTGGAGAAGCTTACATTTTTTCTTGCTTGTATTAGCCATTGGCTCTAGATCAAGAAATACATGATCAATGTTTATTAAATATGATCAATTGCAGACATGTAAGTTCACGTCACTTCCACTAACATTTTTCCATTTAAACTCTTAATTCTCCCTCTTGTTGCCCCAAAATGGGAATTTATCCCAATCTCCTAGCATTTGGACATTTCTGATGTTATAGACAGAGATTTATGCATGTCCAGGGCCTAGGTGATCTTAAGCCAGGCCAGCAGATTCCAGATCCTTTAATGTGAACTTTAGGGACTATTTATACAAAAGGGAACATTCAGTTCAGTGAAAGCTGACTCTGTTTTCAGGATTAGAAGCTGAAATTTGTGCCTTTATTGAGCTGCATAGCAAGTAGAACATATGGAAACTCCCACTGAATAAGCCAGAGTGAAGGATGAGGGAGACCTCTGCTTCAGTGCCTATTTTATATGACTATTTTATAATAACCTGAACCATATTATGCCTGGTGATTTGTTAAATTTATGTTCAAATTTGAGTTTAAAGCTGAAACTCTGGTCAGGCACAAGTCACCTGGAGTTTTGCCTTTGACTTCAAAGGGCCACACTTTTTATCCACTTTTTGTATGAGTGATATGAAGGAGCACTTTTTCAACTCCTCTGCAGAGACAGGTCTATTTGATGTACAGCTCTCTGCCATGGCAGCAGAATGTTTTCCCTATGAGGTTTCTGTGCTCCTCTCACTTATTTATTCTCCTGAAGTCATAAATCTCTCTTTAGGGCACCAAAACCTTTCTCTGCAGCAGCTGGTACTGACTCCAAAGATGCTCCAGGTAAAGAGAAAACATCAACAGAGCAAAATAACTCCTGTTGGCTTGCATTTTCCCCTAGATATTAAAAAGAGAGAAATGGATCTTTTCTCTCTATCATGCTTGTTTGTTAGAAGAAAAAACATGCAAGAAATCTCACCCCTATTCCCAAAGCAGTGATCAGAGACACTTGCCAACACCACTTCATCCTGTCCCTCTAGGGAATGTAGGAGAGGTAGGAAAACTGCAGAAAATGGTAGCGGGAGAGGGATGCAGGATTTCCCTGAGGAGTGATAGGGTAGATCCCTTTTTATGTGAATTTTAGAAGTCACTTACAATGACTCTTAGAACAATGTCATTCCCACTGCAATCTTTGTGACTGAAATACCTAACTGTGCAAATAGACAGGATATTTACCAACTTTCCTTCTTCCCTCCTCCACTCTCTAAAATTTTTATGGAGGCCCTGGTTGTTCTCTTAGCTCAAATAATGTTTGACAGTTCAGTAATAAGTCAGAAGACAGCCTTCCTTTTTTTTTTTTTTGGTCTTTTTAAAATCCAGAT